AAATATACGGAAGTTGCAGTAATGTCGTTTGGCCACTACGAATATTTCCCTGAGAGTCCGGAGCACTTCCTGGGGGCTTGACACAGCCCTATACAAATAAAACGTATACATATGTGGTTTAAAGTAGAGACACTACATACTGATATACACCTGAACATCAGCAGGAGAGAACTCTTTAAAGTAGAGACACTACATACTGATATACACCTGAACATCAGCAGGAGAGGACTCTTTAAAGTAGAGACACTACATACTGATATACACCTGAACATCAGCAGGAGAGGACTCTTTAAAGAAGAGACACTACATACTGCTATACACCTGAACATCAGCAGGAGAGGACTCTTTAAAGTAGAGACACTACATACTGATATACACCTGAACATCAGCAGGAGAGGACTCTTTAAAGTAGAGACACTACATACTGATATACACCTGAACATCAGCAGGAGAGGACTCTTTAAAGTAGAGACACTACATACTGATATACACCTGAACATCAGCAGGAGAGGACTCTTTAAAGTAGAGACACTACCAGAGTTGGGTGTAACAAAGTAACGCGTTACTGTAATAATATTACTTTTGTCGATAACGGAGTAGTGTAATGCGTTACTTTTATAATTCAGTAATCACACTACAGTTACTAACATTGCCCCGACACGCGTTACTTCGTTACTTTTATAAAATCAGTCATAATCACACTGACAGACAAGAGGGGTTTCCGCCGCAGGTTTATATGTACGTAATCTGCGCCACTTGCGCGTCCACATCTCCACGTGCAGTGCTGCATAAACATGGCAAAGAACACATGCTAAGGTGAAGCTAATAGCTAAGGACCCCCGAATCCAGAGTGAGGATGTTGTGAGTGCGCCGCCGACGACTCCGAAGCAGCAAAAATGACCGGTAACCAAAGCAGAGATGGACAGGCTTGTAGCATCCTTCATAGTAGAGAAAATGTTGTCCATTTGCACAGTGGAATCACCATCGCATCGTTCAGAGATATACTGCGCAAAATACAGATAGCAGGAGACAGAGTGTGGGGGAAACTTCTGTGTAGTAATGCATTGGGAGTCACCGACTCAGGAAGGAGACACGGTGAGAGTTGGAGCTTTGATGTCAAACACTGATGGGTTTATTCAGAGTATCGGCCGGAGGATTCACATCACAAGTCAAAGAGTCAGAGGTTCTGACTACACGGTAGAGTTGCCACGTCAATTCTGAAGAGCCTCTCTCTATGCTAGACCTTTTAACTGGTTCACAGAGAGAAATCAACATCTCTGAAGGAGTAGACTAAACAGCTGGGAACACTGAACCACCTGCGTCCGACACTCATGGCCTCAAAGATTTCACATCTTAGAGTCCACAAACACCGATAAAGAAGTGCCTCAGTGTTCTCACAACAAGTACCATTCGTGCCAGACAAGTTGACCGGTCTCACACTGGTGACAACAACACATATGGCACCAAGGCCTTTCCTTAAAGGAGATAACAGACGTCAGAGTAGATCATAAAACGTCACAGAGCAAAAGGTTAGATATCTAGAAGAATTATTCCTTAACAATAATAATAACAATAACAACAATAGCAATAATGTTTAAATCACATAAAACATTTGAGGGACTTTCTCTTATTCTAACTATATTTGGGATTGATGATATTGTAAAAGAAAAGTAAATACAAATCTCACTTTTATCAAGACTTTTAGAAAAATGTGTAAAAACACCAACATTTTCTTTAGTAAATGTATATTTGTAAAAGAGACATTTTTCTTATTAAAGTATATGTAATCCTTCAGTAGTCACATGTGTCCAAACATTAAATATAAAATAAGAAAAACTTCTTCTGATGATTTTTGGGCCAAAAAAATGGAAATAAAAGTGATTTTATTAAATAGTTTTAACCCAGGTCTGATTTCCTCATTTGATATCCCGTCTATTGGAGAGCTGCTGAAATCATTTTTAGTTTCTTAACTGTGTTTTATTGAGATAACTTTTATCGTACGCACAACTTTGGCTTCTCTTGCTTCATAATAATAAACCTTTATAAATCAAATGTGTGTTTTGGTGTCAACAAAACGGAGAGGAAGTCCGGCTGCTAACATTAAATATTAATTATCAAGAGAGACATTTCTAATCTTCAACAACTTCTGGTACTTTTTTGGGTAAAACGAAATAACTGCAAAATGGAAATTAAATAATTAAATTGACAAAAAGTTCAGTTTTCATTTTCATTTCACTCCTAAACATTAGTGCACCTTAATAATATAAATCACGCCCTTTTCTCCACATCATTTACTAACAATGATCCAGGTAAAACTAATTATAATCTGTGTTTAATTTAGATGTATTGTTTATTATCAGGAAGACTTTCAGGTGTACAAGAACTGTTCTTTTAAGATGATTTAATGAGTTTTGAAAACCTTTAAAGCTGTTTTTGTGAGCTGTGCACACACACCTCAAGGTTCAAGGTTCAAGGCTTTTATTGGTCATACGTGCATAGCTACAGTAGTTATGACGATGACAATCTTAAATCACAGGCTCCTCCAACAGTGCAACACAATAAAACAGATAAACAGTGCAAGTAAATAGTAAATACAAAAGGAAAAATTGTAAAAAAGTGAAATAGTGAAATAGTGCAAGTGATTGGAATGATATATTCAGGGGTGCACATAACTTTCTTAGTGAGTTACTCAAATGAGTACCAGGAGACAATGTTTGGTACGCAAGGTTATGTGTTCAGCCCCTCTGTTTCGCAAACGTCGGCTGGGGGGGTGTGGCTGGGGGTGTGTGGCTGGGGGTGTGGTATTGAACGTCGACGGGAGGGGTGTGGCTGGGGGTGTGGTATTGAACGTCGACGGGAGGGGTGGGGGTGGGCGCTAGTGGAGCACTCGCGTGGAACTCGCGCCAGAAGTTGTGGCACAATTCCGTTGTACACACCGACGTTAACAGCAGCCCCGTCTGTGCACACGGCGACTGACTCTATCGTCCAGTGATCGAAGCGCCTTACGCAAATGCGAAAAAAGTGAGAGAAGTGACGGTACGCTTTTCAGATGTTTGCCGCACATGCGTACCTGCGTACCAGTTATGTGCACCCCTGGATATATTAGATACATAATTCCTAAGTAGCAGCAAGATTAATGTTATTATGTTCTTTCAAAGGTTCAGGTGTTCAGCAGTCTTCTGGCCTGTGGGATGAAACTGTCTCTGAGTCTGGTGGTTTTAGTCCGGATGCTGCGGTACCGCCTGCCAGACGACAGCAGACAGAACAGTTTGTGGCCGGGGTGACGGGGGTCTTTTATAATCTTGAGGGATTTCTTCCTGAGCCGCTGGGAGTAGAGGTCCTCCATGGATGGCAGCTCCTTCCTGGTGATGTTCTGTGCAGTTTTCACCACCCTCTGTAAAGCCTTACGGTTGAGGGCGGTGCAGCTGCCGTACCAGGCCGTGATGCAGCCAGTCAGGATCCTCTCTATGGTGCACCTGTAGAAGGTCAGGATCCTCTCTATGGTGCACCTGTAGAAGGTCAGGATCCTCTCTATGGTGCACCTGTAGAAGGTCAGGATGCTCTCTATGGTGCACCTGTAGAAGGTCAGGATGCTCTCTATGGTGCACCTGTAGAAGGTCAGGATGCTCTCTATGGTGCACCTGTAGAAGGTCAGGATGCTCTCTATGGTGCACCTGTAGAAGGTCAGGATGCTCTCTATGGTGCACCTGTAGAAGGTCAGGATCCTCTCTATGGTGCACCTGCAGAAGGTCAGGATGCTCTCTATGGTGCACCTGTAGAAGGTCAGGATCCTCTCTATGGTGCACCTGTAGAAGGTCAGGATCCTCTCTATGGTGCACCTGTAGAAGGTCAGGATCCTCTCTATGGTGCACCTGTAGAAGGTCAGGATCCTCTCTATGGTGCACCTGTAGAAGGTCAGGATGCTCTCTATGGTGCTAATGTTGGGCTATAAAGGAACTACAGCACGGTCACATGACCTCACGTCACCACCGCTAAGCTAAAAGTTGCTAATGTTGGGCTGTAAAGGAACTACAGCACGGTCGCATGACTTCACGTCACCACCGCTAAGCTAAAGGTGGCTAATGTTGGGAGTGATGACATTTAGTCGTCTCATTTAGACACTTGTTAGCAACAAGCTAATGATGCACATACTCTTCAATCTTTCATTGTGTTGGATCCCCTGCTGTAGATACAGTGTTGAACTTCGCTTTCTAATAAACATATTATGGTACTGTAAGAAATGAAAATCAATGTTTAATGACGTAATTTAGGTTAAACATACAGTAATCTTAAAACTGTTTTATTGTAAAAACATTTCCGGTTAGCATTCGCCTGTGGCTAACGTTGATGCTAAAGTTTATTTTGAAAAGCTATTCCGGAAGAAGTCTCCGGAATACCAATAGTGAGCTTAACTTCCGGTTTTACGAACGTAACGATTGCAGCCGTTATAATGCATTAAATAAAAATTCATGAAAGAGAGTAGAAGGAGAAAAGGTGTGTGGAGTGATGCAATGAATATACAACGTTAAATCCTCTGTTTTACGCAATATTGGACATAAGAAGAACACGATGGGAGGACCCCGACGTCACAGCCCCCAGAGAGGAGGAGCGAGGGATAGATTCAAGCAGGAGAATCAACGTGTGCTCGCTCTTTCCACGGTACCAGCTGCGAGACATCATCTGCTTTTGTCTCCTCACTACTGTACCTTCTGTTTGTTTTATTACCACGTGACTTAATTAAAGTACCAATTTGAACCTTTTCAGAGACTCTTTATTTTAAGCTTCTCTCCTGGACGCGAGAGAATCTGCAATATCTACAGTATCCTACATACAAAAATGTAAAAGATTTCAAAATGTAAGACACGTTGACATAAAAAGTATTTCTCAGTTCATGAATGCATGCATTGGTAAAGAAAATCATTGTCTAATAACTGCCACAGGTTTTTATCCCCTGCAGTCTGCACTGCTGACGTTTTCCCGACACAATAATACAAAAACACTTCATGTTATTTCATTTTTTAATTGAAAAACCAAAAAGGAAACACTTACAGAGAACGGGCACCGAGATCTAATCCTGTTTACTGATGTTCTGCAAAGCTGGGCCTCATTGAGCATCTTTAGCGAGGTGTTTGTGGATGATTGAATGACTAATGAATGAGCCCTGCTTCAGTTGATCACAGAACTAGTCACTAAACAGCTGTTTCATCCACTGTGTGAAACAAAAGGCTGATCTCTAATCTAACGAACCAAACCATCCTTCAATAAACCAACCAGTGAGTATTCATCTGAAGAAGTGTTCTCGCTGGTGAACTGTAGAAGAATATTGTTTAAAATGTCATCACCAGTTCATCTATTAATACACTTTGGTGTGGGCTTATGTGTTATCTAGTATGAACACTTTTTTTTTTTAAAGAATATGTGTATTTATTTTTAAGTAACTGACAGCAGAACTGTTGACGTACAACCTTCAAATCAACCGTAAACCCACCCTAACTCGTACAAACAACACATGAGACCTGCAGCACATGATATCAAGTTATTATTGATGTCTTTGCACAGGTCTCAGAAGGGTCTCCTCTGTCAGAGCGCCTCTCTAGTTTGTGCAGGTCTCAGAAGGGTCTCCTCTGTCAGCGCGCCTCTCTAGTTTGTACAGGTCTCAGAAGGGTCTCCTCTGTCAGCGCGCCTCTCTAGTTTGTGCAGGTCTCAGAAGGGTCTCCTCTGTCAGCGCGCCTCTCTAGTTTGTACAGGTCTCAGAAGGGTCTCCTCTGTCAGCGCGCCTCTCTAGTTTGCACAGGTCTCAGAAGGGTCTCCTCTGTCAGCGCGCCTCTCTAGTTTGTGCAGGTCTCAGAAGGGTCTCCTCTGTCAGCGCGCCTCTCTAGTTTGTGCAGGTCACAGAAGGGTCTCCTCTGTCAGCGCGCCTCTCTAGTTTGTACAGGTCTCAGAAGGGTCTCCTCTGTCAGCGCGCCTCTCTAGTTTGTGTAGGTCTCAGAAGGGTCTCCTCTGTCAGCGCGCCTCTCTAGTTTGTGTAGGTCTCAGAAGGGTCTCCTCTGTCAGCGCGCCTCTCTAGTTTGTGTAGGTCTCAGAAGGGTCTCCTCTGTCAGCGCGCCTCTCTAGTTTGTGTAGGTCTCAGAAGGGTCTCCTCTGTCAGCGCGCCTCTCTAGTTTGTGTAGGTCTCAGAAGGGTCTCCTCTGTCAGCGCGCCTCTCTAGTTTGTGTAGGTCTCAGAAGGGTCTCCTCTGTCAGCGCGCCTCTCTAGTTTGTGCAGGTTCGTCGTGAGTGCAGCAGCATTTTCCTCAAGTCTGAATCCATCAGAAATGAAAAAGTCTTCTGACCGGAGGACGAGGACCGGGGACGTCTCTTCCTGCCTTCTTCACAACCTGCAAATCAACCGTAAAGCCACCTTAACTGGTACAAACAACACATGAGACCTGAAGCACACCATATGAAGTTAGTATTGTTGTCTCTTTGCATGTCTCTGCTCCTTCCTTTACATTCTGTTCCTGCACAGGTTTCAGAAGTGTTTCCTCTGTCCTCGCACTCTCCCTCCCTTTACGTTGTTCACACATGTACGTCGTGAGTGCAGCAGCATCTTCCTCCAGTCTGAATCCATCTGAATGTCCTCTGACAGGAGGACGAGGACTGGGCATTTGTCTTCTGTCTTTCCACTCCTTCATTTTCTTTCTCTCCTTCCCATTCTCCATTCCAAACACACTGTAACGGTTTGTTTTTTCTAATCTACGTCTGGTTAACTTCCTGAACCTCTGTTAAAGAGCCGAGCACAGCCTGTCAGCAGTGGAGCTCCGAACCTTAGACGTACAACCTTCAAATCAACTGTAAACCCACCCTAACTCGTACAAACAACACATGAGACCTGCAGCACACGGTATCAAGTTATTATTGATGTCTTTGCACAGGTCTCAGAAGGGTCTCCTCTGTCAGCGCGCCCTACTCTCTAGTTTGTTGGAGTCCCTCTGTCCCCTCCTCTCTGTCCCCTGGAAGCTGTCTTTTCATTGGCTGTCGCTCTCGCCCAGGAGCCAATAGGTGGTCATCTTCCCTTTGCCCTTCACGTCGATCTCTCTTCTCCTCTCCAGCTGGAAGCAGTTAAACTCCTGCAAGATGTCGTGAGTCGCCGCCGACACGTGGATCTTCAGTGCTACACACACACACACACACACACACACACACACACACACACACACACACACACACACACACACACACACACACACACACACACACACACACACACACACACACACACACACACACACACACACACACACACACACACACACACACACACACACACACACACACACACCACACACACACACACACACACACACACACACACACACACACACACACACACACACACACACACACACACACACACACACACACACACACACACACACACACACACACACACACACACACACACACGTTAGCTAGCTAGCTTTCAGCTGATCTGCAGTAACATCAGAAGGAGTCATGTGATCACATTGTTAAAATAAGACCATAAAACATTTTAGGTAAGTTTCCAACAACAGAGACAGTTGTTCAGCTTTTTAATCCTGAACGTCACCAAGCGCCCCGTCCCAGGTGTGCGCGTCACTCTTTAGTGTCCCCTGGTCTCCCAGCTGTGTGCGTCAGTCTTTAATGTCCCCTGGTCTCCCAGCTGTGTGCGTCAGTCTTTAATGTCCCCTGGTCTCCCAGCTGTGCGCGTCACTCTTTAATGTCCCCTGGTCTCCTAGCCGTGTGTGTCACTCTTTAATGTCCCCTGGTCTCCCAGCTGTGTGCGTCACTCTTTAATGTCCCCTGGTCTCCCAGCTGTGCGCGTCACTCTTTAATGTCCCCTGGTCTCCTAGCCGTGTGCGTCACTCTTTAGTGTCCCCTGGTCTCCCAGCCGTGTGCGTCACTCTTTAGTGTCACCTGGTCTCCCAGCTGTGTGCGTCACTCTTTAATGTCCCCTGGTCTCCTAGCCGTGTGCGTCACTCTTTAATGTCCCCTGGTCTCCTAGCTGTGTGCGTCACTCTTAAGTGTCCCCTGGTCTCCCAGTCGTGTGCGTCACTCTTTAGTGTCCCCTGGTCTCCCAGCTGTGTGTGTCACTCTTTAGTGTCCCCTGGTCTCCCAGCCGTGTGCGTCACTCTTTAGTGTCCCCTGGTCTCCCAGCTGTGTGCGTCACTCTTTAGTGTCCCCTGGTCTCCCAGCTGTGCGCGTCACTCTTTAATGTCCCCTGGTCTCCCAGCTGTGTGCGTCACTCTTTAATGTCCCCTGGTCTCCTAGCCGTGTGCGACACTCTTTAATGTCCCCTGGTCTCCTAGCTGTGTGCGTCACTCTTAAGTGTCCCCTGGTCTCCCAGCCGTGTGCGTCACTCTTTAGTGTCCCCTGGTCTCCCAGCTGTGTGCGTCACTCTTTAATGTCCCCTGGTCTCCCAGCCGTGTGCGTCACTCTTTAGTGTCCCCTGGTCTCTCAGCCGTGTGCGTCACTCTTTAGTGTCCTCTGGTCTCCCAGCCGTGTGCGTCACTCTTTAGTGTCCCCTGGTCTCTCAGCCGTGTGCGTCACTCTTTAGTGTCCCCTGGTCTCCCAGCCGTGTGCGTCACTCTTTAGTGTCCCCTGGTCTCTCAGCTGTGTGCGTCACTCTTTAGTGTGCAGTACATCAGAGCTGTGCAGCTAAGTGAAAACATACTGATGAATCTGCACAACATAAAGACATGTCTGACCTTCGCCGCTGGACTCCATGCGTGACGACGTGTTGACGGTGTCTCCGAACAAACAGTAGCGTGGCATCTTCAGACCCACCACCCCCGCACACACCGGCCCTGCAGAGGAAACACACGGCAAGCTCATGCATCTCCAGAGCAGTGCATATAAAATAGTTCTGATCTAACATACTATTATTGTAAACGTTAAATGTAATGCAGCACTTGCTTTTGCAAACATCCAACACTTTACACAACAAATCCAGAAGAAAAGTATGTTGTGCATAAAATTAGAGCAGAATAAAAACACTAACATTTCAATTATCCGAAGTGGTTCACTTTGTTTAATCCATAATATATATGTTCTTACTCGTCATGTTATCTTTTAACCTGGTGCAGAATGTTAGGTCTTTGCACACGACTGCTGCTCGGCTATCGGCCCGAGGGTCGCTTTCATTACCTTTACAGCCTTGCATTGTTGGAGGAGCGATACTCGCTGTGCGTATGACAATAAAGCCTTTGAATCTTTTCAATCTTTATCCCAGACACATATTTACTGCTCCTCTCCCATCCTCTGCACGTCCTGCGGTAGAAGATGGATCTGTATTCTCTGACGTCTTGGTTAGAGCTGTGTGTGTGTACTCACCGCTGTGAACTCCTATCCTCAGCTCCAGCTGCTGCTCGGGCCGGTGGCAGATCTTGAATGTTCGCACGGCGTGCAGCAGGGCGAGCGCCATGCGGGCGATTTCCCTCCCGTGCAAGTTCCCGTTCCTCACCGGCAACCCCGACACCACCATGTAGGCGTCGCCAATCGTCTCCACCTGCAGGGGGGAGGGGTGCACTTCGTTTTACGTGTATTTAATGTATACGTTTAAAAAACTTCCACACAGAGCTAATTCTTCTTTTTTTATTGAAACTACGGCGGCCTCCAGGTGCCAACACGCTTCTACGGCCCAGAACTCAGGAGAAACACGCTGCAGCTTCAGAAAGGATGCAGATATAAAAACACAAATGTTCCACATGAAGAAACATCTTCAGCAACTTGACAACACATGCAGCATTTAGAGAACATTCAGCAACTTGAGGAGACATGCAGCGTTTACTAAAAGCTGCAGAAACCAAACGCTGAAGAAGCTCAGAACACAACGGAGACCAGGGGACACTAAAGAGTGACGCACACAGCTGGAGACCAGGGGACACTAAAGAGTGACGCACACAGCTGGAGACCAGGGGACACTAAAGAGTGACGCACACAGCTGGAGACCAGGGGACACTAAAGAGTGACGCACACAGCTGGAGACCAGGGGACACTAAAGAGTGACGCACACAGCTGGGAGACCAGGGGACACTAAAGAGTGACGCACACAGCTGGGAGACCAGGGGACACTAAAGAGTGACGCACACAGCTGGGAGACCAGGGGACACTAAAAAGTGACGCACACAGCTGGGAGACCAGGGGACACTAAAAAGTGAAGCACACAGCTGGGAGACCAGGGGACACTAAAAAGTGACGCACACAGCTGGGAGACCAGGGGACACTAAAAAGTGACGCACACAGCTGAGAGACCAGGGGACACTAAAGAGTGACGCACACAGCTGGGAGACCAGGGGACACTAAAGAGTGACGCACACAGCTGGGAGACCAGGGGACACTAAAGAGTGACACACACAGCTGAGAGACCAGGGGACACTAAAGAGGGAGGCACACAGCTGAGAGACCAGGGGACACTAAAGAGGGACGCACACAGCTGGGAGACCAGGGGACACTAAAGAGTGACGCACACAGCTGGGAGACCAGGGGACACTAAAGAGTGACGCACACAGCTGGGGGACCAGGGGACACTAAAGAGTGACGCACACAGCTGGGAGACAAGGGGACACTAAAGAGTGACGCACACAGCTGGGAGACCAGGGGACACTAAAGAGTGACGCACACAGCTGAGAGACCAGGGGACACTAAAGAGTGACGCACACAGCTGGGAGACCAGGGGACACCAAAGAGTGACGCACACAGCTGGGAGACCAGGGGACACTAAAGAGTGACGCACACAGCTGGGAGACCAGGGGACACTAAAGAGTGACGCACACAGCTGGGAGACCAGGGGACACTAAAGAGTGACGCACACAGCTGAGAGACCAGGGGACACTAAAGAGTGACGCACACAGCTGGGAGACCAGGGGACACTAAAGAGTGATGCACACAGCTGGGAGACCAGGGGACACTAAAGAGTGACGCACATTGGAACATTTGTGTTCTTATATCAGCACGTTTCTCCTGAAGGAAATGTTCTGGTCGTTGTAGAGGGTTAGCTCCTCTCGGCCTCCGTATGAACACATTCAGATTATTTTCTTAAAGAGAATAGTCTGTGTTGTTTTTCCACCTTGTAAACATCAAAGTTGTCAATGATGGCGTCGAAACAGGTGTAGAGGTCGTTGAGCAGCGTCACCACCTGCAGAGAAACGACCTTATTATATTATAATACTATATATCATATATTATAATATTAATATAATACACACCCATAAGCATCTCACAGGATTACCTGCAGATACCACTCTCAGAAAGTATAATACTTTTTCAGCAATAATATCTTTATAAATATAAATACACCACTGTAATATTCCAATGTTTACATATTTATTGTTGTTATATATCATAATAAAATGTACACATTGAATAATTACATATATTAAATGTTAAATATCAATATATGTTTCACATTTAATAATTTAGTATGTTAAATAATAAAAAAATACAATTAGTAAAAAACAAATAGCGCAGAAGTACAGCATGGAAAATAAACCAAGTAGCTGGTACTGTTTACAGATTGTTAATAATTATATTTATATATTATATATTTGAATAACCTGCAGCGGCGTGCTCTCAGCTGAGATGGCGGTGAATCCCACGATGTCGCTGAAGTAAATGGAGACCGAGTCGAAGGCCTCGGCCTGAACCGTCTCGCCCCGTTTCAGCTGCTCCGCCACCGAGCTGAGGAGACACGTGGAACAGGTAGGGTCTGCAGTATTAGTACACACAGTACTCACTGAGGTAGTATCTGGTACACACAGTACTCACTGAGGTAGTATCTGGTACAGCAGTATTAGTACACACAGTACTCACTGAGGTAGTATCTAGTACACACAGCACTCACTGAGGTAGTATCTGGTACAGCAGTATTAGTACACACAGTACTCACTGAGGTAGTATCTAGTACACACAGTACTCACTGAGGTAGTATCTGGTACACACAGTACTCACTGAGGTAGTATCTGGTACAGCAGTATTAGTACACACAGTACTCACTGAGGTAGTATCTAGTACATACAGTACTCACTGAGGTAGTATCTGGTACAGCAGTATTAGTACACACAGTACTCACTGAGGTAGTATCTAGTACACACAGTACTCACTGAGGTAGTATCTGGTACACACAGTACTCACTGAGGTAGTATCTGGTACAGCAGTATAAGTACACAGTACTCACAGAAGTAGTATCTAGTACACGCAGCACTTACTGATGTAGTATCTGGTACAGCAGTATAAGTACTCGCAGTACTCACTGAGGTAGTATAAGTACACAGAGTACTCACTGAGGCAGTATAAGTACACAGAGTACTCACTGAGGTAGTAGCTGGTACAGCAGTACTCACTGAGGTAGTATCTGGTACAGCAGTATTAGTACACAGTACTCACTGAGGTAGTATAAGTACACAGAGTACTCACTGAGGTAGTATTAGTATACAGAGTACTCACTGAGGTACTCACTGAGGTAGTATTAGTACACAGAGTACTCACTGAGGTAGTATTAGTACACAGAGTACTCACTGAGGTAGTATTAGTATACAGAGTACTCACTGAGGTACTCACTGAGGTAGTATTAGTACACAGAGTACTCACTGAGGTAGTATTAGTACACAGAGTACTCACTGAGGTAGTATTAGTACACAGAGTACTCACTGAGGTAGTATTAGTACACAGAGTACTCACTGAGGTAGTATAAGTACACAGAGTACTCACTGAGGTAGTATTAGTATACAGAGTACTCACTGAGGTAGTATTAGTACACAGAGTACTCACTGAGGTAGTATCTGGTACAGCAGGGTCTCTGCTTTCCTCTTCTCTTCGTGATATGCCTGAGTGCGCTCCTCCACCAGCTCCTCCAGGTTGTTGGCGTACAGCTCCATCCGGGAGAGGAGGTTATCCAGGATGTTAGTCCTCGACTCCCCACACACACACACACACACACACACACACACACACACACACACACACACACAACACACACACACACACACACACACACACACACACACACCACACACACACACACACAAACACAACACACACACACACAACACACACACACACACACACACACACACACACACACACACCACACACACACACACACACACACACACACACACACACACACACACACACACACCACACACACACACACACACACACACACACACACACACACACACACACACACACACACACACACACACACACACACACACACACACACACACACACACACACACACACACACACACACACACACACACACACACACACACACACACACACACACACACACACACACACCTTGTGGAACGCTGCCAGCAGTCTGGGGTCCAGGATGTTCTCCTCTGGCTCCCAGCTGTTGTGCCTGATACAAATAATAAGACACCAATTACATTAAGAAAATACCTGTAAACTCTTATCACTTAATTTCATTTAATTTCAAACCTTTATTTAACCAGATTGGCCCCATTGAGATCATAGATCTCTTTTTCAAGGGAGACCTGCAAGTAAGTAGTACCAGCCAATCACAGCACAGTACTACCAGCCAATCGGGATAGCATCCATTGCAATGAAATTCATTCTAATTGCAATGAATAAGAATGTGTTGGTGTCAATATAACTTTGTCACCACAAATGTCATTTATTTTAATAGCTATTTATCGGCCTCTTTCTTCAAACAATCTTTTTTATGAGAATTTTAGGAAATTATTAAGAGAATGTAATTTTAACAAAGAAGTTATTATAATGGCCGATTTCAACAACTGGGAGGATAAATCTGCTAGAAGACTCTTAAACAGATAACCGATCACTTTGACCTTGTGCAACTGATCAATGGACCTACAAGAATCACCAGGACACAAATTGATCTCATTTTTTGTAACAAACCAGAGAGAATTTTTAAATATTTTAATATGTTAACTGGTCTCTCTGACCACAATATGATTTTAGTCGCCAGGAACCTAACAAAGAGGCGATGTAGCCCTTCATTCAGGAAAAATGATTCTTATGGAATTCCCAAAAACAAATATGAGACCTTTATAAATGCTGTTCAACATATTAAATGGGATGATCTTTTGCTGGGAATAGACCACGAAGAAGACAGTCAAATGTTCTCAAAAACATTAGAGAGCACTATCAGAGATTTCAATTGCAAATTCAAGCAAAAAAATAAGAAAAACACTGTCCCTTGGATAAATGAGGATATCTTAAAACTAATGAATGAACGTGATCTAGTCCTAAAACAAATCCATCAAAACTAAATCAAGCCATGACAGGCATCACTTTGCTATGCTGAGGAACAAAGTCATTAAGAAGTTACGGAAGGCTAAGGCAGACTTCTTCTAGATTATAATAGACAAGGCAGGGGGTAATTCTAAAATGATCTGGAAACAGTCATAACTATTCACTGGAAATAAATATAGGGAAAGAAAACAGCTTGAACTTAAAGACAATGGAAAGCTTATAAACAATCCAGCTGACGTAGCTGAAGTTTTAAACCACTACTTCATCGATTCTGTTGCAACCATTGCACAGTGTTTCTCACCTCAACGCACTCTCACTCCCTAAGCGTCCAGGAGCGACGCTTGGTCAGGGTCCCGTGGCGTCCAGTTGTGACGCGCCGAGGCTCCTTCAGCTTCATAAACAGACGCAAAGAGCTTTCAACTGATTGCAATGTATTCCCAACCGCGGCGGTATTTGACGCTTAGGGAAGCACGGCATTCGTTTGTGTCGGAGGCTGTTAAAGGCAATGTGAGCATCCATTCCCATTGGATAACGGAGAATTGTACACCCGGAAGTAAGTATTCTCCTTACTGTCGATTGATTTGCCAGTGATATCTCCACTACTCATCAACTCAAAAACACCAGATTATCCTTGTTAATTAAACGACATTGATAGGTTTTAGTGTGTGTGCAATGCTTTTGTCACGTTTTCCCCTTCAATTCTGAGAAACAAGTCGTTTTCTATGAGTTTTGGATGGCCGAAGACATTACATTACCCACAATCCTCTGTAGCAACCATAGACTGTATAAAAAAATTAAATAATACATTATTCCGAGTGTGCTTGCTTTTCTCTTTGAAAGTCATCACATAACGGCATTGTAATACACGTTTCGGCTGCATTAAATATGACATATCTGCCGTAGTTAACTCTATGTATAGAGCCCTGATGACAAGACTTCTAGACAAACAGGAACTGCCGCCAAAACTGAAAACTTGACGTGGATCTTAAATATATTTAAGCAATAGCTCACGACAGGCCGTGGTATATGCTCATTATATCACAGCTAAGGGGCGTGGTTCGGCTCGACGCGAAACATCGTTCGCTTCTGCACGAAACATAGTGCGAGGTGGTTGCTATGCAACAACACTAACAACAGCTAGCGAACATATTAGACAGAGAGCGTTGATCCATTATTTGGCTATTTATTTACATTAATGTGTATGTTGCCGTTTATTGTGCACCCACTGAAAAACTGTCCAGCATCAGTAGAATGGCTTACGTGGTTACTTGTATAGGTTGAGGTTGTTCTAGGCTGTTGCTTGGCGTTGCGAGAATATTGCTCCACTTTCTCCGGTCCCCGAGATTCGGCTTCCAGTAGCTCTGGAGAGAGCTTTCGCACCTGTGGCCACTAACGGTCATCATTTCTCTGCTTTGTTTCAAGACCCGCATCAGAAAGCTTTTGAATGGTGATCCTTTTCCAGTTGGTCTACCTGCTCTTCACGTAGCTCTACATGTCGTCGTTTGTGCATTTTGTTCTGGAGATAGGCACTCCTCAATCCACTCCTCCATAGTAAGACCCCCCCCCCCGGAGGTCGAAGTTAATCTTAAATGTTTTTGCGGACCTTTTTGATTACAGATTTGAAAACATCGTTGCTTGCTTTAAAAGTATCACAATTCATTATGTCAAACCTTGGAAAGTATCTAAATATCCCTGCCCTAATGCCAAAGGAACTGCACACTGAATATGTTTTTGCCGTTTGATGTCTATGTCTGGACCGTTGCGTAAAAAGGAGGGCTTCTGCCCCGTTACTTCTTCCACGCAGGCAGTTTGCTTTTCAGCCCAACTGTATACTGTTTATCTCAGACGCGGAGGGATACTGAGTTGTTGTGAAAAGTAACTTACAATTCTACCCGTGGTATACGCTCAGTATACCACGGCTAAGAACCAATCAGATTGCTTGATTTTACTTGTCCGTTTTATAAAAGCAATTAAACAACATCTTACATTTCTTTTCACACAATACGTCTCCTTGCAGTATCAACACTAATTCGGCTGACTTTTATATTTGATCCAATTGGTAGATAGGCTGTATTTACGCCATAACGGTGCACAGCTGATAGAAAGGGACACCTACTGGTTAAAGCGCGTTATTGCATTTTATAATTTTATTATTAGATATTAATAGGAGGATGTGCAAAACAGACAAACTAATAAGGCTTTATTTAAACATTAAAGAATACTTTAGGTTAAGGTCTTCTTTTGAATAAGAAAAAAGCTTTGGGGGTATAGAAGATGAATATGGAGGGATGAAACCCTCTTTGATGGTCACACATGCAGAGCACACAGCACACACAGTGACATTTGTATCTACAGATAAATATTAAGCCTGACAAAGTACTTAACGTCTAATATATTGCTTTCCTGCAATGATAACTATGTTTAAGCACTTATTTTAACTGATATTATACATATGTATTATACTCTCATAAGATGTATGTAGATAGTATAAGAAATGTGCAGAATATGACAATGTAATGGTGGAGGTACACACATATTGATAGATGTCTTGTAATGCACTGTTGAGGAACCTGCGACCCAAGTTTTCATTCATTGCATAACTACACCGTAGTTGTGGATAATATGATATGTCAATAAACCTTAGAAAATCTTGAAATCTTGAATGGGATGTGCAAAATAGTCATTAATTTAATTAACTATTAGTAGAGAATAACGACGAGTAAAGAATATACTTCATAGGGATCCTATTAATCTCTAATAATACAATTATAAAATGCAATAACGTGCTTTAACCAGTAGGTGTCCCTTTCTATCAGCTGTGCACCGTTATGGCGTAAATACAGCATATCTACCAATTGGATCAAATATAAAAGTCAGCCGAATTAGTGTTGATACTGCAAGGAGACGTATTGTGTGAAAAGAAATGTAAGATGTTGTTTAATTGCTTATATATTTAAGATCCACGTCAAGTTTTCAGTTTTGGCGGCAGTTCCTGTTTGTCTAGAATCTTGTCATCAGGGCTCTATACATAGAGTTAACTACGGCAGATATGTCATATTTAATGCAGCCGAAACGTGTATTACAATGACGTTATGTGATGACTTTCAAAGAGAAAAGCAAGCACACTCGGAATAATGTATTATTTAATTTTTTTATACAGTCTATGGTTGCTACAGAGGATTGTGGGTAATGTAATGTCTTCGGCCATCCAAAACTCATAGAAAACGACTTGTTTCTCAGAATTGAAGGGGAAAACGTGACAAAAGCATTGTACACACACTAAAACCTATCAATGTCGTTTAATTAACAAGGATAATCTGGTGTTTTTGAGTTGATGAGTAGTGGAGATATCACTGTCAAATCAATCGACAGCAAGGGGAATACTTACTTCCGGGTGTACAATTCTCCGTTATCCAATGGGAATGGACGCTCACATTGCCTTTAACCTGTTCCACTCTGAGCCTGTTTTTCAGGTCTCAGGCTCGAAAATGACATTCCCAGAACAAATGACCATATCTTCCCTTCTAAAAGGGTTAAATTAATAATCTTTTCTCAAAGTAATGATAAACCTGTGAGTTGGATGTAGAAGTGTCAGAATCAATATAAATGTTTTTTATTTTAAAGAAAATTCAGATTTTACATAGTAAAAAACTGTAAATTATAGTGTCCGTCCAAAAATTATTTTTTACAGATAGTGAAAACTACCCTTGGATGA